ACACACACACACACACACACACACACACACACACACACACACACACAACCTAACCATAATCACCTGGCAGGAGATACTCATTACTGTCTTTCACGGTTTGATGGATACCTTTTTTTTTTATACTGCATGATTCTGTTCCTGATTGATAATAGTGTTGCTTAATGTAAAGCAAGACATTTATAGTGAAACAAATGATTCATTAATGACTCTTTTCCTGCACGTTTTAGGTAAAGAATGCTACAGATTGCCTGGATCACCCCCAAAATCTGTCATGTATGTTATTGGACTGCATTTATATAGAATCACTTTCAAAAAGGACACGTTTCAGAGGTGTTTTAATGTGAAAACAACTAAAACTATACATTTTTAAACATATTTAATGTGTAATGGTGGAAATAACCAGGAACAAAGAGACAGAAGTCTGAAACTGTGCTTCAAGCTGAACGCATATGATTCATGAAGTGTGCTCTGATACTTGAAGGCAAGCAAGGTTCAGGTTTGTAAGATGTATGTAAACACAGCAACATGTAGAGAGGGAATCAAAGTTAGAGAGGTCCGTTCTATCTGGATTCATGACGAAGCCTTTCTTGCTCTGGACGTCTCTATGAATATAGCCGGACAGATGTTTGTCTTTTGGGTCTAAAACTCAATTTAACGAGCCAGAAACAGTTTGAGAACAACTGATCTGTAAGTTATTTTGGTGATAAAATGCAGAATTCCCCAAATTGTTATCTGACATATTGAATATTTGCACAGCCATCAGCCTTCTGAAAACAAACTCATTTTCTCTTTATTTATTTCTCAACATTTTGTGTCTCCTCTGCACTCAGATCGGTGGAACTATCGTAAGTTACATGGACGGATGCTGCAAGACGTGTGAGTATCTGATCTGAGCGTAGCGGCGCGTCCTGTAGTTAGAGTAGAGATGTAGGCTGCTGACACTGAAGAGCGCCTTCACCTGCCGCTCAACATGTTTCCAACATGTTTGCCCTTCAGTTTTGTCCGTTTCGGTCCAAAAATCTTCAACCAACGTTGTCCCGATTGGATCCCAGCTGTTGTTTTCTGTTACATTTGTCTGCTGTTTATTCAGATTAGAGAAATCTGTCGGCGTGCTTTTCAGTGAATTCAGTAACAAATGGCAATGGATAACTCTTTCAAAGTGCCAAGTGATAGAAGTAGTATAGTCACTGAAAAGCATCTGATCACATGCAAATGGGTTTATGTGCTGCAGCTTACCATCATGTACCAATCCCACCAGGTACTGGATTCTCTCTGTTCCCTTTCCCCGTTAGCCCCCTGACTCCCACAGTTAACACAAACTGTGAACGAGGTACCAAAACAACAAGGCTTGTCCGTGCCATTGTTGATATTCAACAATGTACTCCCTCCAAAAAACAAACAGAAAATCAATAAAACACACAGGAAGTCTGACTGCAACCAAACGGTCCTCTCAACTGTCTCACTTCAGGTCTCTGTGGAATCAAAACCAGTAGAATAAAACCAAAACATGCTGCCAAAATACAAAATATATAAATATTTATAACATCTATGATGCAGATGTTGCATCCTCCTCGCTTCATGGAGTTCTTAACTTCTGACGATTGCTTGTGAATTCCCTTTTTTGTAAGTTTTTATCTTAAAAAATGTGATACTGAAGTAAATAAAGGTGATTTAACACCTTCAAGGAGGCGGGGACAGGATCCTGTGTGCAGGCCAAGAATAATGTCACACTTGAGAGGACAGTAAGAAGTGTTGAGCCCCGCCCCTCCCTGTGGATCACGTACATGTAACACGACGGCTAAACTCTTTCCCCATTTAGCACTGTCTGGGCAGTGCATTGTTGATTGCCAACAATGTGCTGTTGGTAGTTGCCCAGTAGTCGGGCTTAGACGTCTGCATGTGTCAGTAGATACTGATGTGAGTTGGTGTCTGTAGCTGCTGTAGAAGGTCTTTATGCCGCTACACCACAGCCGCTGTGCTGCTCCGCCACCAGGGGGAGCTGTGTGGGAAACTGAAGCTGCTATGTGAGGCGTATTACTTATTACAAGACTCACCAGTGCAAGAAGTACAGTGTCAAGAACTGTGTATTCATTTAAAAAGACTCAGATAATGGTTTTTAACATTGACGATTGAAATAGAGCGCTGATCTCTTATTAACTTTAACTTTTATTGGACCATAGTCCCCTGTTGGTGTTGGTTACGTAAATGTGTGTGTGTGTGTCATCTGCATAGTTATGGTAACTTGTTTAGTTGTTTTCCACAATCTGAGCCAGTGAAAGCAAGTAGAGTTCAAACAGAAGAGGCCCCAGAATGAAGCCAAGGGGAACTCCGCATGTCATATTTGTCTGCAAATGTGACATGACCTAAAGACACAAAGTCCTCTGTGTCCTTTAATAAAGACTCAAACCAGTTTAACACTGACAGTGGGCTGAAAACCAGATTGGAAGACATCAAAACAATTAGTTTGGTGCCAAAAAGTTGTGCAACTGTTGAAAAACATTTCAATGATTTTACTTAGAAATGGGATGTTTGACATAGAACTATAATTATTCATGCGTGAAGTGTCTAGTTTGTTCTTTTTTACGAGTGGCTTGATAACTACAGTTTTCACCTGAATGATTCTATTAATAATTATGAATGTGATATATTACTTACTCTAAAACAGCTGCGTTGTTTGTAAAAGAGTTTCTGGTGAAAGGAGTGAACAAATATTGAGCGCTGATATGTAATCTTACTGTTATAAAGCAGATGCCATACATAGCAGCTTTATGTTACTGCTCAGTTTGTTTTGTATTTTAAATGGCAGAAATGTTGACAGAGCATGTTTACAAAAAAAATGTATTTTTGTTGCATTTATTTTAGCAATTTTTATTGATATTTGAAAATATTTTTTGAAAGCATTTTGTGTATGTGATAACTGCATGAAGCATCTCACCAGCCCTTTATATTTTTGTTAAGCTTCCTTTGTTACTTTTTTAACTTTAAAGCTTTCATATAAAGTATAATTTGTATCAACCATCCACTAAACACGTGCATGATCTACAGCCTCTGTCCTGGTGTTTGCTGTGTCTCTACATGCAACTCAGATGTTTCTTTGTTTTTGGATATCTCACGTTAACTTTGTTCCAACTGATTTGGTTTGTTGTCGTGTGAACAGGCAAAGAAGATGGGAAGTCGTGTCAGAAGGTGACGGTGAGGATGACAATCAGGAAGAACGACTGTCGCAGCAACAGGCCGGTATGTACTGTGTCTGAATCTCAACTTCTTAAGGAGTTATGAGTAGGACAGGAAGAGAAACCTAAATATACCACGCAGTGGTAGAGGAAGTACTTTCACGGAAGTAGTGGTATCAGAGTGTAGAAATACTGTTTTTGTTCCAAGTAAAAGTCCTTATCCGATTAATTGATGAAATAATCGGTAGAATACTTGATTACTAAAATAATCGATAGCTGCAGCCCTAATTCAGATGCTTAGAGTCCACAATAAACCTGTAGTGAACCCCTCCTCAGCCATGACGTGGAGCATTGTCACCAAACGTTTCATACAGAGGGAGGAAGTAGCCGGGATTATTAAATATAATAGAGTTGCTGCTTTACTTGACAGATCTGACATTGGGAGATAATAGGTGCAACAGCCTGCTATGACCCTTGAGAGTGATTGATGGTCCTATGCTGCCGTTCCCTTCATTCACATCTTAGTTCACCATCATTGACTTATTGAACAAATCAGAGATATGGGAGAAGATTTAGAGGTCTGGAACGAAGATGTTTCAACATGAACTCACCAAAAGTGTGGACGAATGTAAATATCAAAGGGAGAGAGTCACTGAGGGAGAGCAGTATGTCATCTGCAAACAGGCGTGTCTCCTCACAGTGAAGTTCTGACACTGTCAGCATTTTCAAATGTCAAGAAATATAAGAAATTAAGATTAGTCAGTTGATCTCAATTGAGAGTTTAATGCTATGGGTAAAAATATATGATTTGTATTTATAAAATAATTGATTCAAGCACTTAAATAGAAGTCACAGAAACTATTAACGTTGCTGAAAGTTACTGAGAGAAAGCAGTATATCATCTGCATACACACTTTAATTACACCCACGAAGATGCACATTTTCAGCATCTTCCCTTTGCCCCAGTCGAAAAAGGTATAATATAGTAAACAAAAACAATGTCATGAAAAGTCTTAGTATGTTGAAATATGAAAAAAATGTAAAAAGTCGTAGACCAAAAATGTATTTAAAAGCAAAAGTATAGCATCTCGAAAAGAGTCAAAAACGTCACAGCAAAGTATGTCTTCAATTTCATGCTGATAGTATAGTATGCTGAAAAATGTGTATATATATATAAAAATGTCATAGCATGTCAAGAAAGTCCTTAAATAGTCACAGCATAGCATGTCGTAAAATGTAAAAAGTCAGACTAAAATGTCCAAAGTGTAGAAAATTGTCAAAAAATGTAATAAAAAGTTATTGTATAGCATGCCGAGAAGAATCATTGTATAGTTTATAGAGAAATGGCCAATTATAGGATGTAAAAAAAGAAGTAAAAAAATAAATCATGAAAAAGCTTCAGTTGCTCGAATAAACCATAAGGTTGAAAGTGGGCAACTCTGCCTCACACCACAACGTGAGCACGTAGCAGCAGAGAGCAGAGTTTTAGATTTAACTGAACTATTTAACAAATAGAAACAGCTTGTATTGGAACAGCAGACAACAGCAGATTGTAAATTAACCTTAAACAACTCCATTCATGTTATTTCGCTGGTTCTTTTTGTCGCCCTGCTACCTTGCACCTGTACCGACTCTCTTGTGTCGTGCAGGTGAACATCGTGTCTTGTGATGGGAAGTGTCCGTCCGCCAGCATCTACAACTACAACATCAACACGTACGCTCGATTCTGCAAGTGCTGCAGGGAGACGGGGCTGCAGCGGCGCTCCGTGCAGCTCTACTGCAGCGGCAATGCAACCTGGGTCAGCTACACCATCCAGGAGCCCACCGACTGCTCCTGCCAGTGGTCCTAAACACACACACACACACACACACACACACACACACACACACACACACACTCACACAACCGGTGTTCACATCCTCTAGAACCACAAAACAAAAGAAGAAGAGGAAGAAGAAACCTCAGCCGTGTTGCTTTAGGATGTTGGAGAGTGGAATACTGAGCTCTGATTGGTTACTCCAGTTAGTTGTTCTGCTGCCTCGGCTGGCCGGGAGGTGGTACTGCATGGCACCGAATGTGACCTTTGCCCTCTGATAAGAGTCACATAAAGACGAGCGTGGCCTAATTATGACGACACCAAATGATGAGTTATTTTTGTTGTTACATATGAGAAGAGTTTTAATTTAACACATTTAAATGTATTAAATGTTGTTCAGTGTATCATTTTAACATCAGTCCATCATCTTGTTAATATCATGTCTGAACACCTTTAAAAAAACACGCTTCAAAGAGGTCAAACCTGTAGCTGCACTGCCACCTCCCCGTCAGAGGAACGCAAATGTTCAGCAAAGGAAGAAGTAAGTTATTTGTTTCTGAACGGAAACTAATTTCTCGGCTCGTCTCCGTAGAGTTCATGTGTGCTGCCACGACTGGCGAGGTTTAAAGATATATATGAAACAAAAAGAGACAGACAATCAGGAAACGAGCTCTGAGGTGTGAAAGCAAACAGCTTCTGGACTCGCTTCAGTCCATTGTCGTCGTCATTGTTTGGAGATCAGAATTTACCCAGAATTCCTCATGTTGTGCCTTGTTTTTGTAAATAACTTTTTTTAAATGATTTGCGATATCAGATTCTTAGATATTTCACTGTTATACTTAATCTAATCAACACTAGAGAGGTGTATTAACTGATTTAAATCCAGCTGTACGTGGAGCACTTTATTTATTTATTGGAGTTTGATCGAGCACAGCAGAAAGGAAGCATTCGACCCGACTGAACAAACTGACCGAACACAATCCAACACTCTCATCTGCAGTTACAGACAGAGAAGATCCGAGGGGAGCATGGCGGTGCGTTCAAATACACGTTACTCTCTGGAACACATTCTTATGAAACCGACCCATCTGTACCTGCAGACCACCACCTGGAAAGTATGTGTTGTACTGTAATGTCGCAGGATGTTTCTGAAAAAAATACAAATCTAAAAGATAAAAATAAAGTAATAATAAAAATGATTCACCTGGTTAGTCGATTTAAAGAGGATTTGTATCATAAAAATGTACATCTGCATTTTCAATAAATATTTCCTGGAAAAATGTAACTTGTTTGCGCTGTTTATTAAATAACAGGACGATATGCAGTACAGGTAACGTTCATGTTACTGTGACTCGGATGTATCGGGCTAAAGCATAACAGCACCGTCTATTTAACTACTGTTGGACCTTAAACAATGTCGGTATAATAAGCCATGAAAGTGACCGATAGTATAGCATCACATAAAACAAATCATTAAGGAGTTGTAGTATAGCATGCCATAAGAAATATCATAAAAAGTCATAATTAAACAATGACGTCATCGTCTCCCTGCTGTGTTAAACGTGCGTCTGTAAATGTAAAATGTTCCGACTCGGCTGTTTGTTGTGTCGACTCTCGGGGCTGTTCAGAGCATATGAAAACATTACAGTTGCTTCTTTAATGTCAGAGACTTGAGTGTCCGGTATCAATGCACTAGGAATCCAGATGTGTGACGATGGATAATCAGAGGAAGTGAGAACAGTAAATCTGTTGCTCCTCCTCTCGTATATCAGACTCCAGACCGGCTGGCTGGTCTCGGCACACATGCTGTCGGCAGTTGTTGGGAAAACGATACCGAACCGTGAACCCACAAAATCCAGACATTTCTTCTAGCAGACATGCAAGCCGGGCCACCACCGCTTGTGTCCGATGAGCCGCCCAGACCGGGCGAGGAGATCACACAGAGCTCAGACGGTGAGCGGAATAAAGTCAGGAGCTGAGCTGAGCAGCTGATCAGGGGCAGTGGTTACAGTATGAATCATGAAGATATCATACACATTAGTGACAGGAAATCATATTACTGCAGAGATCTCATAATGTAGCATGCTGACCGTAAAGCATGCCATGAAGTATGTCCAGTTCAGTATATCATAAATGTGACACAAAAAATGTCAAGTAACAATGTAGTCTTTCAATAAATGTCTATTATGCATTAAAAAGTATAGAATGTCCTGAATTGTTTTTTTTATGTCATAGTATGGCATGTTATAAAAATGTCTCAAAAAGTCATGGTACAGTATTTGATGAAAATACAATAAAAAGATTATAATATAGTATAAATAGTATGTCCAAAAAAATGTCATAGACATGTATGACGTGAAAAAGTCATTAAAAAATTTTAGTTTAGTATTTTAAGAAAAAAGTCATACAAATGGCATAATATAGTATGTATTACAATATATCATGAAAAAGTCAGAACATAGTATGTTGACAAAAAGTGTCATTAAAACAAATCATGTTATATTATGTCGTAAAAAATATGAAAACGTCATAGTATGTATTAAAACGTCAAAGTATATCATGTATTAAAATATATTAGTCGGGTTTTAGGAGAAATGTCACAAATGTCGCTGCCAACGCATCATTTTAATAGAATACGGTTGTTTTATTTTGTTCTTTTCTATTTTTTTGACGATAAATAAACTGTTAAAATCAGATCAGCTGGAAAACCCAACGTCACAAAGCTGAACACCGAGCTGTTCTTCTTTCTAGAGATACGTTGTTCTCACAGGACAGCGTGAGAACATCTGATAATATATAATAATAATCTTATAGAATACGATGCATTGCTGTAGATTAAACTAGTTTAAAAACATGCCACATATAAACTAATGCAGCAGTAATATTAACCCAGAAACATCAGGAATAAGGTTTTGAATGCAGGATTACTTCTAGTGGAGTATTTTCACAGTGTGGTATTAGTGTTAGTATTGTTACTTCCCTGCAGCTCATCGAGTATCATGTTCATACCGCTGCACTGTACTCGCTGCTGCTGCTGCCTGGTTTCAAGATGAAGTCATGTTCTCTTTTTATTCTCTACAACACGCCGTCCAACCGTCCAACTCTGACTTAATGTTGATGAAAGAACAACACTCATCTGATCTCCGGTTTAACTTCAATCATGATCACAGATAACCCACTAAAGAGCGCTGTGGACCTCAGAGAAGCTTTTACACATTCAAATAAAACTTAAGTTTGCCTGAACTTACTAAGAATGACACAGAGAAACATTTGAACTCTTAAAACCTCCAGTCCCACAGTTTCCTCTTTGTGTGTGTGCGGTTTGGTCGGGTGTTGCTGTGTGTGTGGGTGTGGGGGGGGGGTTCATCTTGCTCTGGTAATCCTGCTACAACAGCTGAACTCCCCCCCCCCCCAACTCCAAAAGAACCCATGTTCCCGCTGCTTAAAGTGACAGTTCTTACATCTTTCAGTCCTGGATGAGTTAGAATCTCTATTTGAGTGAAACTATGACGTTCAGCCTTTCAGAAGCTCCAAAAGAAGAAAAACTGTATTCTGAGGTTTTCTTCCAGATGTGGTTTCCATGTTGACACATTGTTTCTAGTTAGTGCAGCAAACTGTCTGCAGCATCTGTCCTCAGGTGACTCATGATGCACCAGACAAAACAAAACAATGTTTAAAATAGTAATGAAGTAGAGATCAAAGTCTAAACGGGCTAAAGGCTAAAACATGTCAATGTAAATTCAAACCATTAAAATATAAAGATGTGTGTATTGTTTCCCACCAACATGCCCAGTAGGGGTTCCAGCACCAGTCACCCAAATCGTCTCCGCTCCGGACTGAGCTGACCAGCAGAGAAATGCATTGTGGGTTAAGTCTCAAAGTGACATCCCTGGAAAGTGATCGTTAGCTTGACAAGCTCAAAGCAGCTGCACACACACACACGCGCACACACACACACACACACACACACACACACACACACACACACACACACACACACACACGCTCGGGCTGGTGTGTGTGACTGGTTTTTCAGTGAGAGTGAAACTCAAGACGGCCGAGGGAGGGAGGAGCTACAAACTGAACTGGAAACTCGCTTTCAATCATCATCATGATCTTCATCACCAGCAATCACCTGCAACCATAAAGCACCATAACACTGGTGTTACAAGCTTCAGCCAGTTCAGCTTTTGCTTCCATTCATTTATAAACACGTTAAAATGAACAAGAGCTTGAACAGAAGATCTGATTTGTTTGTTGACGTTGACACGCTGCTCCTTCCTCTTTCAGGGCAGAAGCTCATAAAACATTTCAGCACCGTCTTCAACCAGCGCTCCTTCTGTCTCTGTGACTTTGAACAGAACGGCAGCGTCGCTCTGATTTACATCCATGAGGAGGAAGAGGAGGAAGAGGAGGAGGAGTGAAAAAACATCCCGACGTCAGAGGCAGCTGATGACAAGGCCAGACCCCCGGCCATCAGGTGACGTCCTGGGACAGAGCGCTGGACATTTGTCCCCTCTCCAGGAAGTGACCTGATGGCTCCGTCACAGCAGGAGAGAGAGAGAGGACAGGTTGAATTGATTTAACCTTTGACCCCTGAGAGGAGCGAAGACAGAGGTGGACCTGATCTGTTCTCAAGACCAAAGCACAGAGGAGGAACGTGGACGGTGCTGCTTCCTCAAACTGAAGATCGAGAGTCTAAATGATTGTGATGTTGTGTAATGATGGAGGAAGTGCTCAGATCTTCCAAAATTAAAAGTAGTAATATTACTCTGTAAGGAAGTTTAATCCTTTAAAACCACAACATTTCCCTCTGAAATGTGCAGAAAATTAAAATATGAAAGTACAGAATTATACTATAGTAAGTTAATTGTACTTTGTTACACTTCACCACTTTGCTCCTTACAATAATAAATGCAGACTGTGACCGTCCCTTTACTGTATCTGACGACGTAACTTTCCAAATCAGATCTACGATCTGTGGAACAAAGTGAGGAAATGCAGCTCTGTGGTTTCTCTGTGAGCCGCGGTGATTCACGGCTGCAGAGTTGTTTCATAAGAGAACCGACCGAAAGGGACGAGTCAGGAGGAGAGAGGAGAGCAGAGGAAGGAGAGGAGAGAGGAGAGCAGAGGAAGGAGAGGAGAGAGGAGAGAGGAGAGGAGAGAGGAGAGCAGAGGAGAGCAGAGGAAGGAGAGGAGAGAGGAGAGAGGAGAGCAGAGGAGAGAGGAGAGGAGAGGCTGGGAACGTGTGAATAGCTCAATATATAAAACACGTGGAGCCTCCATTGATTTGGTAACAGTTGTGGCAACGTGTTGCTTTAGCAAAGCTCTTCTTCAAACTTCACAACAGATACAGGAGGCTAGTCTCGGGTTAGCACTGCTGGAATATCAGCTGAACAAATCACAGTTCAAACCTCTTCAATCAGAGAGACTGACTCAATATGTCACGGGCTGTGAGTGTGGACCCAAACGCAGGCACGGACCAGGGATTATAGGTGAAAGGTTTATTGACAGGAAACCAAGGGGGGGGGGGAATGACCAGAGCACCGCGGGAAAGTCCAGGGAGGGTGAGGGTGGAATCCAGGCAGGAGGAGGCAGGGCAGGCAGACTGGGGAACCGGGAGGATGAAAAAACTGCAGGAACA